TGGAATTCACACCATATATTATGATCCCTTTGGCTAGGATCCGATCGGATTGGTTTCGGGAACCTAGCTTCTTTAATATTCCTCATTGCTGACACCAATTCTACGAGACTGATATTTAAATTGTAGTCGGATAATATAGGATATGTCAAATCTCTAGACCCCGGTGTCTCTTTCTCATGTAATGATCTGTTATTTCGACCACAGTTCGATCTTATGTCGGAAGCGAACTTTTCTGATGACTAAAAACCCTTATTTCCATGCGCATCAGCCCTCTCGTAAGGTTCAAAATGACTTTTAGAGGACCTCTGGTCTGCATCAATATCATTTTTAAACTTATCTTGATTTCGATCACGATTCCGTCCTTTGGAAGACACCGAAGAACCAAGTTGATTATATCTAATTCTTATTTTTGACTCGCTGTGACTGCGAACATTTGTCCATGTGGTTCCCTGAAATACAAGCAAACTCTCCTTCAATTATCGGGAGGCATCGGAGCTCAACGGGTTGAGACCCTTTGTAATTTCTTCTGTTGCCCACTCATTCGGAACCGCTGGTAACAACATCATTTCTTTCTAGAACCGGATCACGAACTCTCGCAATAGTTCAGATTCTCCTAGGGATATTCTGAATATATCTGCCTTCCTTGCCTGGACCTTTCTTGCTCCAGCATAAGCTTTGATAAACGAATCTTCAAGTATTTCAAAGAATCAATGGAATGCTCGGGTAAGAGAGAATACCAAGTTAAGACCCCCTTCGTCATGGTTTCTCCAAACATCTTCAATAAAATAGATTCGATCTCATGTTGGGCCAGGTCGTTTCCCTTTACTGTTGTAATGTAAGTCGTGATGTGTTCTTGTGGATCCGAAGTCCCATCATATTTTGGTATATTCGGCATCTTAAACCTCTTTGAGATCAACTCTGGAGCTATACTTGGTTTACATAGCAGCTGCGTATACTTTTTGGAATCCGGCCACTTTAACACATGCGGCGCTCCCAGGATTTGATCCATCCGAGCATTAAATTCTTTTGCATTCTGATCCATTCGTTCATTCATTTATCTCATGAATCTCATGAGCTCAGTTTTGAAAGGGCCATTTAAGTTGTTTTCCTAGATCCATTATCGGTACCCCCTGCCTCGTCGAAATCGATCTCCTCCCTTGGAGTGTCGTTATCGGCTCTTTGAACTGTTTGATTTTCGGTAACGCTGGGAGGAATCGGAGAACTTCCATTAGCATTATTGGAAGCATCCGATAATGCCTGCTTCAATTCTATTATCACCTAAACTTGTCTTGAGCGGTGATTCATAATCGCCTTTTGTTGTTCTCTCAAGATTTTGACCGTTTCAACAACGTGTTTATCATCTGCATCATCAGGAGTTGGGCCCCTCACATGTTGAGGATACTGGCCTTCGCGAACCGGGGTTGCTTCATCTCCTTTATTGTGGGTTTTGCTAGTTAAATCACCATGCTGGAATACATCTTCGCGTTCATTCTGTGCTCCAACATTGTATACATTGTTGACATCATTAGCTGCCATATCTCATTTTTCTTTTACTAAAGAAAGAATCAAAATTTGTTAGTAACAGATGAATGGATCAAAGCAATTACATAATTATCCATGCCCCCAAGGTGTACACCAAACTATTTACCCGTAAAACGGTACAATTAAATTTATACCGTGGTTTATAGAGAAGCGAATCGGTTTGACCTAAAAATAATAAATAACTAAAAACAAAAGTAAGATTATGAAATGAAATGAGAGGAAAAACAAACTTGGCTATGAACTTAGTCTCTCCCGTGACAAAAGTATGAACAATATTCAAGAATAAAGACTGAGAATAGTGTTATAAAATGAGAGCAGAATGTAGCTTTTTTGTACAGAATATTTTGTGCCAACAATGAATATTAATTCCCCTATTTATAGCTCTATTCAGGGAGACAAGATCCCCAAATCAAGCTCTTCTTAAATGGGAATAAAACTGTTATTGATAGCTAAATAAAGATTGGCTATAAATGCAGATGTTATCTGTAACGGCCGCTCATTGAATGCTACCCGATGTCAATACTTTGAACCTTTGTCGTCGGCTACTCTGTCATCGGGACTCATCCAGCACTAGTCACATTCTTGCAACCGGTATCAACTATTTGCTTACTCACGTTCCATCTGTCTTCAGCTCCACGTGTCACTTCGTCATTCGTCCAATTATCTCTAATCAATTTTACCGTATACAAGAGTAATCTTGATTCTATCCATAGTGCAGGAAATGAGATTGTTGAAGATAACATTTGATCCTGACGATTATAGTCAAGTTTGCTTACAGGTTTCAATTTCAAAAGGTGAAGTTTTGCGGGAAAAAGAATTAGAAAGGTTAGGAGTAGATACATCTTAATTTTGGGCTCATTGGTTATACAATTGGCAATTTGGATGACTTACATGGTGCAAGACAGCAATAGCAAAAAATAATCTAAAATTGTTTCTCTTCTAGTAACACTTGAATGGAACATGTCCCGTGTCAGATCGATATATCAACTTCTAATTCTTGACTAAAATGCAACTCATGAGTCAGGCGACAAGCTACTAAATAACTTCTGCTTTTTGTTACAAGGGGGTCTGAGAAGGAGACAGAAAATGAATTAGTATGAATCAAACCCACAACTAGGAGTGGCAAACGGGCGGATCGGGTTGGATATGATTCAGTTCGAAAACGGGTAATGAAAAAACGGATAAATTATCTGACCCGACCCATATTTAATACGGATAAAAAACGGGTTAACCGACGGATAATACGGATAACCATATTATCCATGGCTTCATGAATATGATCACTTTGGGAGAATTCCTAGTCTCCCAAACTTGAGGAACCCCCAATTTGAGGCTTTACAAATATAAAAGTTAAACTCATAGTTATCCATTGGTTTCCCATTGATTATCTATTTTCTAAAAGGATAATATGGTTTTTATCCATATTTGACCCATTTTTAAAAAGCTCATTATCAAACCCATTTTTTAGTGGATAATATGGGTGGTTAACTGTTTTATTTTAACCATTTTGTCACTCCTACCCACAACTATTATATGGTAAATTTTCACTACTATTTGTAGATTATAAACTTTGATGAGAATTATTAAAATTGTCTTTGCTATTGGACATGAGACGAGTTTAACCCAAAAAAGAAAAAAGAAGAAGAGATGAGTAAAAGGGAAAATGAAATGAAAATTGAATTTGACCACATGAAAGTTGAATAGTTCCTGGAAATTGGTTTGAGTGGAAGCTGAAAACGGACGCCTAAGAAAATTCGCCCCTACGTATAAGACCCGCTGAATTAGTCTTTCTCTTAGCCACCAAGAAGTTTCTTATCTTTTTTTTTTCTCATCCAAAGTTCGGTATTTGTATTGGGGTTCTCACTAATCCGGATCCGTACTGTATAAAGCATATTAAAAAGAAAAATATTTTTCTACCAGATTGTTTTGGTCCAATACTTGAATTCGAGAGTCGAGCCTCTAATTAAGATTTAAGAACGACAGGAACATATTTATCTCACCACAACCTTTGATGGTCTTAACAAGTTGCTTATCACTTCATAGTTTTTCAAAGTCTATTCCCCAGATTTTTTTATGTAATTAATACTTTGTTTAGCCTCTAATATTCTTTTGTTATTTCGTTATTACTACAGAAGACAATGACGTTAAAACCAAACTTCAAGTAATTGTTCGTTATAATAATAATGTATGATATGTAATTGGTCTCACACATAAGTTTAATTGGGCATTTCTCAACGACGGCAGGTACTTCGTCCCATTCTTTATAGTTGTATTTGTAGTATAAACGGGCGAGGGCCACAGACCACAGTTTTAAAGGTTTTTCTTTAGCTAATACTCTCATTGGAAAATTATTATTCTCTTTCTTAGTTACTGGTGAATGATGATACACTATCTCTTTAAATTTAGGATTGTGATTATTTAAGGAAATGTTAAATTATAAATTATTGCTCATTGATAGTAGCGTACACTTCATTCGCCAAGTTTAGGCTCTATTTCATGCTACGGTAGTCATCAAACTATGAGTCTATTACATCAAAGTCATCTAACTAAACTTTGTAACAAATAAATATATCTTCTATATCGTATAAAATGAAAATTATTAAAAATTATAACTAAGTTGCTACATAAGATAAAAATTGCCAAATAATTAAACTCTATCGCGATCATTTGTTCATCTTCTATATCCGTATGTCTATTGATAAACTTCAAATTTCAATCCAATTAGGGGTAAGAAATGTAAAAAAAATAGGGGCCAAACGGGGATAAAAATGCAGAGAAATGGAAAAGTTCGTGTTGATGATGTGGTGGTGCTTATTACCAATTTAATCTTTGTGAACTTAATTATAACTTTTAGTGCCGTATTGATGAATTTTTGGCAATTTTTAGTTACCAACTTTTAGTTTTATGACCTTGTTGAAGTAGATTTTAGCGATGACCATTGGTGAAATCAACCCAAGTTGTGAAATTATTTGGAATCCCTTTTTTCCCCTTTTCAAGGCCAGTAAAATGTGATAAAATTACAACCCTTTGCTTGCCAAAAGTCAAAACTATAATCAAACGATAGTAATTTCGTTTCATCATTCATATATAACAGCGGTAACAACCAAATACGTCACAGGCACAAGAGAGAAAATTTGAAAAGTAGGACATTCATTTGTAGAAGTGGTCTCCGTTGGTGCATGCGTAGACATCACAATAAATATATGGATAAAGAACCCGGTGTTCAGCACCCGCACTGGAACCCATCTAATACCCGTCTAATCACTTAAGGCCCATTAAAGGGGAAAGCTCTCCCTACCAGTATTTTTTCTCCGTTTAAGGGTGAAGGGATTCTATTATCCCACCACAATAGCCGGTCAAAAGTTGAAGTTAAGTAATTGTATTGAATAGCTTGTCCTATAGTAATAAGGAAAAATCTCACACATCCGTGTTGACTTGACCNCTCTGTATAGTACTATCCATGGATAGAGAACAAGAAGAGATGCAATTCTTAGGCCTCTTTGATATCTACATAGAAGCCTACAAACTTATCTACAGATGGAGGAAAATATTCAGCCAAATCACCCTATCTTTGATCCTTCCTATGTGCTTCATCATCTTAGCTCACATGGAAATTTACCATCTTTTCTTCTCTGACCTTAAACACTCTGAGTTTCAGCTTCTACACACTCACACCGGCACGGCGAAATACAACAAGATCTCTGATCACATAAACTCAGAGCTAGCCTCTCTATGGCTTTTCATAATTGTCTACATCACTTTCCTCATCATCTTCTCCCTTCTTTCAACCTCTGCTGTGGTTTACACAATCGCATGCATATACACTTCACGTGAAGTCAATTTCATGAAAGTTATGAGTGTTGTGCCTAAAGTTTGGAAGAGGGTTATGGTCACTTTCTTGTGTGCTTTTGTTTGTTTCTTCATCTACAACCTTGTTGCCTTCTTGGCCCTAGTTATAGTGTCAATATGGGCTTTCGGTATGCAGGGAGAAAATGATGGTCTTGTTAAGTTTGTTCTCGTGATCATGGCGATTGTTTATGTCCTTGGATCCGTGTACCTTTCAGTTATATGGCATTTAGCTAGTGTGGTAACTGTGTTGGAGGATTCATATGGGGTGAAAGCCATGCTTAAAAGCAAGGAATTGTTAAAGGGGAAGATGACAATAGCCTTAGTTTTCTTTTTCAAGTTCAATCTTTCACTTGGTATCCTAAACTTTATTTTCAAGAAGTTTGTGGTACATGGACATGGGAAGCACATGCATCTAGGGATGTTGTATAGGACAGGATTTGGGTTGCTTTGTCTTCTTATGATGTTCAAGTTGGTGTTATTTGGTTTGGTGATACAAACAATTATTTACTTTGTTTGCAAGTCCTATCACCATGAGAACATTGACAAATCTGCACTTTCTGATCATCTTGAAGTTTATTTGGGTGAGTATGAACCTTTGAAGTCCAAAGATGTTCAAATGGAGGGTTATGAAGTTTAAATTAAGTTGACTTGTATCTTCTGGTATATGTATTAGAGTTCATCTTCTGTTCCTTCACAGAACAAGGGGAAAATGGAACTTCTTTCAACTCAGAGATTAGCCCCATTTGTAATATCGTTTGTACCGAAAAATTTCTCTATGTATTTGACCTTTTCAATGGATAATAATTATGAGAATTATTAATAGGAAAGATGAAAAACTAGCAGTCTTCATCAGCTTTGGTTATTATGTCATAATATTGTTGTCTTAGATGTTATTCTATGACATAATTTATTATGCTTGATTAACAGTTTTGACATAATTAATTGTTAATTTGCAGTTTAATTCTTATGCTTGTTCCTTTCTTCCTTTCTCTCTTATTTTTTACCTAATGGTACATGCATAGAATATCTTAAGGGAAGATTACTCCTAGCAAGTTTTCAGTGATCTTGGACAGAGTATTAATGCACAGAATCAAACAAGTAATTGAACCACGAAAACCCAATCGTTCAAACTCAAGTACAATTTGATTAGATAAAGACTCAAATTATCTCATATTTCCAAGTAGACTTGGCTATTGTGCGCTAAAGCAAATTTAAAACGAAACTGTCTTTAACTATCTTACATGTTAACTACTATTATAAAACAAGAGAGGAAGAGTGACCGGGAGAAATATGTTAAAGATAATGAATTATATATATCAAATTGCTAGTTATTGTAAAGGAGTTGCTCCGTTCGACATGCCCAGATGATTTCCTAAACAGTTCTCATCATATTAAGCAAGATAGTCTCAAGCAGACTCAGCTGAGGTGATTTGATGATCAAGGAATTCCAACTGGGTTTATTAAAAAATCCCATGTTTTAAAACCTTACAAAGACATACATTTTGCTTTTGAAAGTACACAGCAATTACATACCTCAGATTCTGGAGAGCGAAAAATCTGCATCTATCAGAGAATTTAAGTGATGACAAATGCTTCACTTCAACAAGTTCCTTCTTCCATTAGTACAGAGCTAGCGAGTCCCGCAATGTAAGGACCCATATATCTGAGCTAATTTAAGATCATCTCGGGAAACCATTTGACTAGCAAATTCCACCAAACCTACAACTTTTATTGACAGTTTATAAGTTACATCGAAAAAAACAAATAAAACATAAGCTGTGTGCATCACTTGGACAACTGCTGAGAAACATCCTTCTTTTCTTCTTGTTTAGGTCCTGAAATAGCTGCTGTTGCTGCAGCAGTCATGGCAGCAGCAGCTGCACCTAATTTTACACCTCCTGCAGCTTTAACAGCACCACCAATTTTTGCAAAGGCAGCTATTCCTCCTACAAGAATGGCTCTCAATGCAACTGTTGGTTTTATACTCATATTTGTCTACCTGAAAAGGAAAATATCAGAACTGTATCGCCCCAGATCACCTAAATACAAAGATCACATTGGCGTACGTATCAAAGAAAGATATTAACACAATGTTCTCTGAGACTCAGATGCTTGGGTAAAACAATAAAGAGCCCAACTGGCATATTCCTAAAATTTAAAATAGAATATAACAGATAAGGACTTGATAAAATCCCTATGCTACTATTTTCAGATACTGCGCACCATAAAGATCGGTTCCTTCATTTCCTAGAGCAGACAATATACAGATTGGACCAATGCAGTAACTGCTGCAACAACTTTGTAAATGGCTAAGGTGTGGTAGAAAGGCCGAAATGGAGTTTAGCAGTTTCACAAATGGATTTAAATTTTACAGGAGTTTTGGAGAGAGAAGTCCTAGTGTCCCGGCACTAGAACCAAAGGCAAAATTATTCATGATGACCACTACAAATGGCAAAATTCTTCATGACAACCATTACAGATATTCTTCTTCTGCAGATTCTAAAGCAGTGATTCCTATTTAAAAGAACACCATGATACTAAGCATTGGTGTCCAATATAAATCTTCTGTCCCTGGCTCCATAGCTTTTCTACCTAAGAACGTGTGAACAGACTTCTTTAAATCAATCAAACTTTGCTTTTATTTCAAAAATATCATGTCAGTATGGAAAGCATCACATATGCTGAATCTTCCCAACCACAAAAAACCACAAAGCAACATAGAGATCCCTGTGCTCATAGAGTCAACTATGACACTTTGAGCAGGGTCTCTATATGATTCTACAGGTGTTAGGTACCGCTCCAAATAAACAGGTGTTGGATCATGTTGGCATGTCTTGCACCATGTCACTAGCATGCTGCAAGAACATGGCACGACCACAAAGATCATACAAGCTGAATGCTCAGTCAGTAGTTCAAAATAGTTCCTTTATCTAATCAAAAAGCTTTCAACTCTCACCACCAACCCTGGACCGACTGCAAGCAAAAAGACCTACGTTCCTCTGGCTTATCACTACATCCATGCATTCTATGGTCATAAATAATACTGTTACACGAAGTACTTATTTTCATCCATTAGAACCCTCCTACAGAACCATATGTTTCCATACCAAGACAAAAGGAAGAAAACTAGGAACACTAGAATAATAATTAGCCTTCATTCCAGCAACTGGCATGTACTTCGAAATAACTCTAATACTCCTTATCACACTCTCTTTATCCACATCATCAGTCCGTTGAGCCTTTCCACTGGTATTCATCAATCCATTTAGAATGTGAAGATGATTCCCTATGCCCATTTGTATGACATGACCACAACTGATGTGCTCGTCTTGGATTTGGCCATTTAGGTTGGTCAAACTCATGTGCCCTTAATTCATCCAAAAGGACAGTTGTTGGTATTGGAATGAAAAGGCCCAAATGGAGCAGGGTGGACTGAGGATTCATCTGGCCAACCTAGCTAGTTGGTGAATGAGACTTAGTCTTTGATGTTGTAAGACATGACAAGTTAAGGATATGATCAACTGTAAATCCGTGGGTCTACATTAGGAATTTACACTAAGTCATGGAACATGTTATTTGTAGGTGATATTGTGACCATTAACGAAACTAATTAAGGAGTCAACAAATTAGCTCCACATAAGAAGAATAAAGTTGAGGTGAGATTTAGATGGATGTATGTTGCCTAAAAGCAGACAGTTCAGATATCCAAATCTTAGTGTTCCAAAATACTGGTATGATAGATGAAAATGCAACACATAAAACTAAGGAAAGATGACTAAAATGGGTCAGTTTTATGGAGTGCTATGCATAGGACGACACCTACCAATGTTAAAGGCAGATTCTATGGGCTTGGTTGCAAGAATAGCAATATTAAATGAGTGTTGGGCACCTAACGCCCAACAATTTTCATAAGATGAGTGTCGTAAAATACAGATATTAAGATAATAAGATGGATTTACGGTGATACGAGATTACACAAAAGCAAAATGATCACATTTGATAGAGGGTACAAATAGCAGACATAGAGAATAAAGTGAAAGAAGATGACCTTCTTATCAACAAAAAAAAAAGTGCATAAAGATGGCCTAAATGGTTTGTCCAGGTCTATGTAGACCCTCCAACCTCATTGGTCCATATGACACTATGATAATGAAAGGTAATAAAGATGAGTAAAATTACAATCACATGCAGGGAATTTATCTTTAAAAAAACCTACAATTTCTTGGAAACCCATACAAACCTAAAAACAAATACAACACTATGAAGCTAAAGATCCACTTAGACGAAACAAACTAGTCGAGATCAAGGCTTACTCACGTACACTTACATTAGATCCTCTGCTCAATAGGAGCCCTTTTAGATTGTTTAGATTAAACATCAGTGTGAGATAAGTAGAAAATGTAGAGAAATCTGAAAAATCTAGTGATGGAGGACCCCTAGTTTATCTTAAAGTACATTACTGAGTATTCAATTGATGAGTCCAAATGAAGTGGAATGAAAACGGAGGATCATGTAACCGACCCCAACTAGTTTGGACTTAAGGTGTCATTGTTGTATTAGTATGGCATTATAATGAACTGTGTTACTCAGTTTAGAGTATTGTAACATAGACCCAACCTATTTTTTATGACATGATAATGGACAATATTGCTAAATGAAGAGTCACCAACTGTAGCGCAGGCCTTTATCTCTGGAAACCAAATCAACCGGACTACCACAATGAGTGGATATGCATGGGTTGTTTACAACTAGTGCAGCAGTTTAAGCTGGTGACCAATAAAGTCAAGGATCTAAAATTGGATTTTAGAGAAATTGAGTGCTTTAATTTGGTGTAGAGGCAGTGATTCACTAAGCAAAGCTAGGCAGTAGCCAGTAGGTGAAAATTGATCAGAACAAAGCGTGGAGGAAGCATAACTAGAAGCAGAAATTAGATCCCTTGATCTCAAAAAGACCTAACAAAGCATATCCTCTCCTGGTTGGAAAAATGTACTCTTAGAAAAGGACAATTTTATGTATCAGAGCGGTACAACCCATCAAGTGCAGGAGGTCATATCAGAATGGACTTGGGAGAGATCACTTCTACTCGGCACTGCCGCAAGAATGGACAGCTCAAGTCACTTTCACTGGAGAAAGAGCAAGAAATAGAGTAACCAAAGAAGAGAATATCCACTCTAAACTTAAGCTTTTATCAGTTTGACAGCTTGTACAGCAAAATAATAGATTTTTCTCATCTGTTCATGCTTCTAACATCAAGATCAATCTTAGCAAACTTTTTAATTGATAACATAGGATGCTTCTGTCTCATTTTGAGCACCACATAAAAGTCCACTAATTGCCTACACAGAATAGCTAACCTAACCGAAAACTTGTGCTGCCCCATGATAATGAATGCAACATCTAGTAACTTAACAAACAACCCCAAAAAAAAAGAGAATTAAAGGTTTTGGAAATTTCAACTTTTATTTATTGCCCTCAACAGCTTGAATCCCCTAACTTTCATATGCATTGACCTTCTTACGATATTTTTCTAGCTATCATGGATTGCAACACAAAAACTGAAGAATTTCGGGGTAAGCAGAAGACTGCAGATTAAATTGCAAATTAAAATTCATTTCGAAGAACTAGATTAACGAATTGGCACATGTGAAACGACAAGTATAGGAGGAAAATCTAAAGGCGGGAACTGAGAGAGGTAGCGCTAAGGACGAAAAGGGTTACTTACGATTAGATTTCGCCTGAGGAAGTGATATGGGGGAAAATGCTGGGCCGAAGCAAAGAAGACTCGAGCGTAATTTGAAAATGCGGGGTTCTCTTTATTGGGTGTCGGAAGGGGACAAAATTAGGGAAATCGAGGTTTCCTAATTAGAGGTGTGTAAAAGAGTTATAACTAAAACCAAATTGAAAATTAAAACTGACTGCAAAAAAACTTTTTTTTGGGTCTGCAAAAGACTACTTTCAATTAAAGAGAAACTATGTGGGCGTTTGGAGAGTTTTTGGCTAAAAACATTCTTGAATTATGGCTCAAATCTAAGGCACATCCTTATATTACTAAAGTAAACAAAAAATATCCCTTAACTAATCTAAAAGTTGTAACAACCATTCTTCCATTTATTTTTTGTCAAGAACTAACGATATCAACCAAAACACATGTCAAGCACGTGACTTTTTCCCAAAATTTCCCTGTTATGTCCCTCCTTTTGTAATTTGAAGTATTTGTTCATTCTAAACTCCAACTCTTTCATAGTTTTACGTCATTAAAACTGAAAGAGCTATTGTTTTGACACAATTTGCCTTCTTAAGCTGTAGTTACGCTTCATGAAAAAAATAAAATTAAAGTCAAGTCGGTAATCTTTCTCTTTTTTCTTGTTCCAGCAATATTTTAATTGGTTAAAATAGTTGACGAGTGGGATTAGATTAGTTTTTGTTCTCTACATCTTCCTCATCTAGAAAGAGATTATTGTCTTTGCTAAGGAAATCTAGAAAATAACTATATAAAGATTAAGATCTGCTAAGTCAGAGATGCCACTTATATGTTTTGGTAAAATGCTTTATGCATGTTCTGTGTGAATTTCAAGTCACATTATTCAGTGAACTAAATTTAGTATATTTTAGTTTGTTTATGTAGTAGATTTCTAGTTGTATGATTTGACTCAAAAGAACCTTCATCTTATCATAATCCCTGAATTGTAAACATACCCATAAAGTTGAAGTACTGCAGAATTAAAGTAATATAAAATTTCCTGAGTTGTTTCCATGATAAATCATCACCAACCTGTGGTGATTAAAAGTTCTGAGCATTACTTTTGACCAGGAGATTGAGGGGGAAGTCACGTGTTTTAATTTGGTTTAGGAGAATAACATGCTTTAATCTTTTCTTCGATTGACTTTGCTCCATATTATTTTATGAAGTTCAAAATGAAAGAAAGTTTAGTTTCTGAAGTCTTAGTTTTATGAAGGTGGAAGATGATCGGGTTGAGGGTCACATTTGGGAGATTACGGGTTAAAGTCACGTGTGTTGGTTTATGCTGTTAGTTTCTTGACGGAAACTATACGGAAGGATGGTTGTTGCATCTTCTGGAATAGTTAAGGGATATTTTTTGTTCAATCTAGTAACATAAGGATGTAACTTAGGTTTGAGCCATAGTTTATGGATGTTTTTAGCCAAAAACTCGTGTTTGGACATAAAGATTATAAAATTTCGAAAAAAGTGAATTTTTTTAATTGCAAATAGTATTTTAAAATTAGAGTTGTGTCTGGACATAAATACAACTTCGAGCTGTTTTTGAATTTTTATGAGTAATTTGGGGGCCATTTGTCCATAAATATTTTTTCTTTTTCTCAATGTTCTTTTCGAAAATGTGTTTGTCCATGAAATTTTACAAGTTTTTTGAAATTTTTTCGAAAATGGGTTTTTTAAACACCAAAAAATAAATTTTTGACCACTTTTTTAAAAAAATTAGAAAAACAATTTTCCCACTCACAAAAATACAATATTTTTTTTAAGTGAAATGCATGTCCAAACATAATTTCAAATTTCAAATATTATTTTTTAACTTAACTCCAGATACTACTTTTTTTCAAAATAAAATATAATTTTTATGTCCAAACGCCTACTTGAAGTGAAATTTTTTGAAAAGTAGCTTTTAGAAGTTTTTAAAATTTTCGAAAAATTTTGAAATTCAACTTCAAGTGAAATTTAAATTTTCATGGCCAAAAACATTGATTCCCAAAAAAATAAAAAATTTCTCAAAAAAAGTTCTAAAAATATTATGGCCAAACGGGCCCTATATTACAGGGAGCTTGGCGCGTTGCTGGTGTAAATGCCAATTTTTGTTTATCACATTGTTTATATTTGATTTTGTGTTTGTTAGTCTAACTGCGATAATAGAATTAAGAAAAATTGGGCCAAATTGTTTTGTTTCATGAATTGGGCCAAAATTAGTGCCCCAATGGCAATAACCCGGTCCGGATGAAGCCAGTCAGGGAGCTGAGTTAAACGGCGTAGTTTCATGAAGAAACTAAGTCGTTTCATTAAGTGAAACCAAGACCAAATCTCAACCATCCAATCTCACATGATCCAACAGTTCATACTCACTCCCCACCCCAAGTATTTAAATCCTCAAAACCTCAAATTTTGACCCATATCCTTTAATCTCTCTTTCTTTCCTCTTTCTTCACTCTCTCTTCTTCATCTCCCTACCTCTGCCGCCGCATATCCTCTACAGCGGCGGCGCCCTCCTGAAATTGTTCATCGGTGACGGACCACCTCCAATCACCCCCAAAATTTACCATCTCTATAATGACCCGATAGTCGTTTTGAGTATTTGCGCTTCGCTCAGTGGTTTGATGGCATTAGTAGATCCGTATGATGTATTATGACTTGTGTATATCGTCGATTTTTGAGTGATTCGGAATTAGTTTGGAAGAATGAATTTCATGTTTGAAGCTTTAAGTTGGAAGAGTTGACCAAGTTTGACTTTTGAGTATTTGACCTTTTGATGGTTTCGTTAGGTCTGGATGGTAATTTTGGACTTGTGCATATGCCCAGATTTGCATTTGGACATTTCTAGAAGGTTTCAGCACAATTTGGTGAATGTTGGAAATTTGAATGTTTAGAATGTTCTTAAGTTTGACCGGGAGTTGACTTTGATGATATCGGGTTCAAATTATGATTTCGGGAACTGGAATAGCTTCGTTATGTCATTTGGGACTTGTGTGCATAATTTGAGATCATTCCGAGTTGATTTGATATGGTTCGACACGAGTTTTGGAATTTGAAAGTTCAAAAGTTCATTAAGTTCGATTTGATGTGCAATTTGTGATTATGATATTTTTATGCGTGATTTTAGGCCTCGAGTAAGTCCGTGTTATGATATGGGAGTTGTTGGTATGTTCCCGAGGGGTTCAGGTGAGTTTAGGATAGGTTTGGGTTGTGTTGCGCTCGTTTTTTATGTTTCAACGTCATTTTTTCAAGCATAAATGTTACCATATTAAGCAAATGAGCTTCAATTTCTGTTTTGATTGAAGCACTAGATTTGTATCGTAATTATGGAGCCATAGTAAAAAGAATCATCAAATTTGGACATCCTATGAGGGAGTTATGCTCATTTAGTATCGGAGAAGAGAGTTGGTGATGTGCTTCGCAGATGCGAAGTTGGGTCCGCATCTGTGACCCCGCAGGTGCGAAAAATAGTCCGTAAAAGCGAAAACGACAGCTGGAAATGCGCAGGTGCGGAGTTTTTGTCGCAAAAGCGCAAATCCCTGTGTATAAAAAAATCAGATTGCGTTCGTATTTTAAGCATATCTTGAGTTCTAGAGCTCCGATTGAGGTAATTTTTGCAGCGTTCTCGTCTTTTCATGGGTGTAAGTATCTAACTACAATTTTTTTATGTTATTATGATCACAGAAGTTCATTTTCGAATTAATCCATATTTTGATTGGAGAAATTGGGAGTTTTTATCAAAAACTTTTCTAAAGTGAATAATTTAATTTTGAGCATTGATTCGGAGTCGGAATTGAATGAAATTAGTATAGTTGGACTCGTAATTGAATGGGTTATCGGATTTTGTAAGTTTTTCGAGTTCTGAGGTGCGGGCCCAAGTTTGACTTTTTGGTTGACTTTGGGCTTTGATTTAAAGATTCAACCTTTATCGATTGGGTTTGTTCTTTTGGCATTATTTGATGTTCTTGAGTTGCTTTTGGCTAGTTTTGAGCTGTTCGGAGGTCGGTATGCGGGGGATGGCATTTCTAGAGTATTGTTTGACTTGCTCGGTATTGGATTTGGCTTGTTTGAGTTAAGTATCTTATCTAAACTTGGTTGAGGCACTAGTTGCCTGAATTATTTTTGATAGTTACGTGCTATGGGTGCGCATATGTGTGGGGTTTGAGCCCATGTTCGCGGACCTAGGTATTTATTCATGCATGGGGTAGTACTTAGGCTATGATATGCCTAAAGTTGACTCTTAATCTTAAAACTATAATGTTTCTCATATTTGTACCATTGTTGTGAACTATTTGAGTCATACTTGAGGTTACGAAGAGACTAATTCCTTGAATAAACTTGGTAATTACTATTTCTTTGATAAATTGCCGATTTGAGTTATGATTGCACACATTGTACATGCCTACACTTTAGCATGTTATTATACCAGTCCAGGCGCATGAAATCTGATATTTATCTTTCATTTACATGTGTTCTTGTATATTTGATTTTGTGTGATATGATTTGGATTGGGTGCCTATGACTACGCCGGACGGATTGTGTTGCTATGCATGTGACCATGCCGGGCGGATTATGATATTATGCATGTGACCATGCTAGGCGCATTGGTATTATTAGCACGTGAGTTATCTGTGCAGCACATGAGTTGTCTATGCGGATCCAGTATTGATATTATTAGCACGTGAGTTATCTGTGCTTATCCAGATATTGATATTATAGCACGTGAGTTGTCCGTGCAGCACGTGAGTTATCCGTGTGGTTGTTATTATTAGCACGTGAGTTCTTTATGCAGCACGTGAGTTGTCTGTACAGCACGTGAGTTGTCTGTGCAGCACGTGAGTTGTCCGTGCAACATGTGGATACGGATCCATCCCCCTAGGGTCACCCTCTCATATTTCTCTCTTGATGGTGAACACACGGATTGTGAGAAATCGACGGGTTTCTGATTGATCTGAGCTCTAGGAGAGCTGGTTACTATATTTAGATCGGGTTGCGCACCGCAATGGACTGATATTTGGTTATGGCATTTCATCTTTACTTGCAATTTCCTTGACTGTTTACCTTATTTACTTGCATATCTTCCTTATATGCTGGATTGTTGACTGAGCAGAATACTTTAAGACAAAGAATTGTGAGTATCAAAGTTGTTTTACCTAAGA